CCCCCGAAGCACGGGGAGCCCTCCGGAGGGCTCCCGTGCTTCGGGCGACAGGCTGCTGCCCCAGCCTCGCGCGCTCGGCGGGACCTCCTGCCGGGCGCGCAAGGCTTGTGGACACTCCCGAAGCACGGGGAGCCCTCCGGAGGGCTCCCCGTGCTCGGGCGACAGGCTGCTGCCCCAAGCCTCGCGCGCTCGGCGGGACCTCCTGCCGGGCACGCAAGGCTTGCAGACACTCCCGAGCACGGGGAGCCCTCCGGAGGGCTCCCGTGCTTCGGGCGACAGGCTGCTGCCCCAAGCCTCGCGCGCTCGGCGGGACCTCCTGCCGGGCGCGCAAGGCTTGCGGACACTCGCCCAAAGCACGGGGAGCCCTCCGGAGGGCTCCCCGTGCTTCGGGCGACAGGCTGCCGCCCGAAGCCTCGCGCGCTCGGCGGGACCTCCTGCCGGGCGCGCAAGGCTTGCGGACACTCGCCGGGGCTGCAGGCTGCTGCCTGCAAGCCTTGTGAGCCCGTGGGAACTCCCACCGGGCTTGCAAGGCTTGCGGATAGCTTCCTGAAGCCTGGAGAGCGAGAGGGGTCGGTGCGCACCGATGCCTCTTGCTCTCCAGGCTTCAGCGAAAGCCTGCATTCGCTCCATAGGACGCACACACATTTCCCCTTCATTTTTGGAGGGGAAAAAGTGCGTCCTATGGAGCGAAAAATATGGTACCTGGGCCAGGGGGCTGCACTCGGACAAGCACAGAGAGACACGATTATACACACCCTTCCCAGAGTCTTGCTGGTTCAAGCCTCTGTGTGTCTTCTTATTAATCAGAGTTCAATCCTTCCTTTACTTTGCGAACGCAACAGTTTTGTTCCACTTACTTTGAAGCATATTACTTATGGAGCATATTAAATGCTTCAGCTAGCCGTGTGGTATGTTTTAGATGTGGTGCCTGATAACTTCACTAACTTGTAGTCCATCCACCTTTGGAGCCAACTGCTACTAACTGCTTGAGGAATGCTGGTGCAACAACATTTTAAAACAGATAAATGAATCAGCACCTGTGTTTATGAGCCTATAAGCCTCCTAGCGGGAAGTTACAGCGAACACATATTTGCAAAGAGTGTAAGTTGTGGCTCCACTGGATGTTATGCTTCTGAACTGAAACAGACACACTGATCACTAGTTCCTGATAAATTGCTTAGCTTTTTTCTTCCTGCTTCTGTAAAGTTTTCTGAGCCACTCTCATTGTACAACCTCATGTTTCAATCCTGGCATGTCTCCATGGCTAACATTTCCTGTCCCTTTAACTTTTTTGAGCAAGAGGGGGTTTGCCCATTTGGCAGTGGTCATTCATACTGTGAATCGGATTTTAAAGTATTGGCACATTTCACTTTTTATCTGGGCAGCTGAAAAAAGAAGAAGCCTATTTATTCTCCAGTCTGAACTAAGCTATCAGATTTTCTGTCCCTGAATCTTCATTCTGCCCACAAGTGTGTGTGAGTGCACTGGCCTCTGAGGACATTTCAGAGATCTTTCTGTAACCCAGAGATGCTAACAAGAAGTCAGTTCCTGAGTGGACCGCCTATATACTTGTGAGAAATACTAGGATATTTGTTCCCTGGGTTGGGCACTTTCAAAATGTATTTCAAGTTAGAACTATTAGAGTACCCAGGCCTGGGGAGATGCTTTTCTTTGATGACTTTCCAATGGTCAAGAGTGTTGGACTGGGATTGGGGAGAAGCAGGTAGAAAGCACAATTCTGCCCCAGAGCTCACTGAGTGACCTTGGGCTAGTCTCTAGCTCTCAGCCCAACCACAGGATTGGTGTGAAAATAACATGAGTGCTTAAACTGCCTTTCAACACCCCCACCTCCCAGGAGATTGCACCCTAAGTCTCCTAGATATCACATACTGATTTCTCCTATAAAATTCATGCCAGAAGGTTTCACAAAGACCATAGTTATCCACAGTTACCACGAGAAGAAAATAATTCATGCTTCGCTTCATGAATTCTCCTTCCCAGCCAGTTATTTAGAAAGAAGTACCTTAGTGAATGTCTCTTGATAGAGCCTGATCACAGTCCGCCACATGCTTCCAATGGCAGGAAGTGGAAGGGGCCCTGGAAGGAAGTGTCTGCATGACCACCAGAGCTGTTTCAGGAAGTACAGAATCAAAAGACCCACCAGCAGAGCAATCAAAAATAACCGTATGCCCAACATTTCCCTGCCTTCTCTCTCTCACTCTGTCACTTGTCTCCGTCTAACACTTCTGGCTGTGTAGGATGCTCCTTCTCTGTCCACATACTTACAACACCCTTTTATACAGGGCAATTAGGCTAATGGTCTGAGACCATATAATAACAGTTTTGGAACGAAACCTTCTAGGCATTGATGCTAATGCTAACCATTCAATTTTACTGCGCCACCAGTATAGTTAATTGTAGTATGTGGAACTGTAATAATTGAAAGAAAGAGAATAACATGGAAGGCTGGTGTCAGTCCACTGTAGGCTATAGGAGACAGGGACATAGCATGGTAGGGGCCATTGGGGCAGTTGCCCTGGGTGCAAAATAATTAAGGGTGCAAGTTGGGTGAGGGATGCTTCCCCACTTCTGAGCCTTGGCTACAGCTGGAGTGACCCACCCTCCAGCCCAGACTGCTGAGGAAGGAGAAGCCAGAATCTTCCTTTCAGCCCCACAAAAGAGGCAGCTGTGAATGCAGCCCACTGAGCGAAGTGGTCTGGCTGCCTCTCCAAAGGCACCAGCTGAACGGTGGTGGTGACAGCAGCAACTCTTTCCTCCCCTCCCTGTTGTGGGGAGCATCTCCCAAGTGCACAGCTCCATCCCAGAGAGAAGAGGAGAGGAGAGGAATGTGGGAAGGAGAAATCATGCTGCAGAGGAAATATTATTTTCTCCCCCACTCCACCCCAAAGTCCTTTCCGTGGCTTTGCATCACAAATAAATTCAACAAGTCTTATCCTGCCAGGCTCCTGGCTGGCTTCTTTCCCTCCTGAGCACTGCACGCTAACACCTTCTCGAATCTGGTGAGCACCTAGCCCAGTCTTTGTGCATTTGGGTGAAGTGGGGGTCCTCAGACCTGCAGGGGAGGGTGTATAGGAGGATCTGCAAGGCAGGAAAGTGAGGAAGGGGCTAGGAGACAGGGGGTGAGATATCAGTCTCTGTGCATTTGGGTGAATGAAAGTCCCAGGGTTGTGGGGTGGTGGTGCCCATAACAAGATCAGCACCTACCAGGGTTGCAGAACTGAGGTCTCCCTGAGGGGAAAATCACCTTCAGCTCACAATGAATGAGAAACATACCACATCCATCCTTCCCGAAAAAGTACGGAAACAGAGAGACAGCCATCCTTTGAATCCTTACTATTCTATGACTACCTCAGCATGGGTATTTTTTAGAGAAAACTTCTTAGCACCTATCTTACGATGGGTAGCTTTGGAAAAAAGAGAAATACCACCTTATCCCACCTACAATTTTAGCAACTGCAAAGACATGGCATGTATTGTCTCATCAGTTATAATTTGGCCCATATGCTCATGGCAGATTAATTTGATGGGGCAATACAGATTTGAAGATGGAAAGTCAGCCTCTGTTCTGGAAAAAGTGGGTTGATATGTGGGATTTAGGTATATATTAGATCAGCAGATAGGTTCATGTGGAGAATTTTGGTCATTTCCTACATTGAGGTTTAAATATCATTTACCAGCGAATGCTGAATGGCAATATCTACAAAGGCAACATCTGCTGGTGTCTGCTTTGAGCACTTTGGCATCTCCTAAATTGTTGGAGGGACTTTCCAGAACTTCTCAGAAAGCTACATCTATAAATGCTCTTTGGATTTCTGTAAAGCAGATGTTTAAAAATGTAGAGAGTTGTGGAATAGGAAATTAAAATGTTCTATACAACCTTAACAATGGGAAATCACTTGAGGATCTATACAGAAAGGATTTGAAATGCAGATTGGTCCACCCAAATGGGTGTACAGGAAGCCATCATCTCAGGCAGGTAGATGCTGGGGTTGTGATGCTGCAAGGGCCTCATTGAAGCATGTAGTACATGTATGTCCACTGATATATTCCTTTTGGTCTGAAGTTGTTGTCCAAATTAATATTTTTGATATTTTCAGATGTTCTGGTACGTTTAAACTATATTCCCATAGTATGGGGGTTAATAGCAGGACAGTACAAATGGATGGTATGCTCCCTCATGGCTGCCAGAAGACATACTTTGAGTCTGGAAAGTTAAATGCCCACTGTCTGTTACACAATGGTCTAGGGACCTTGTTAGTATAATTGTTTAATTGACACTGAAATGGCTAAATGGCTAAATGCGTTTTGCTGAAAAAGTTTAACATGGAGAAATTCCACTGCAGTATTCTAAGGGAGACTGAGTTTTAACTGAGTTGATCATTAACTATTGTTGTTTTCTGCTAGCTAACGCGTGAGTGTTTAACCTTAGCTCACATGAGAAGGGAGCAGCCATTGTGTTTTTTGTTCGCAGGCTCTGTGGAAGTAAGAAGGCTTATAGGTGTGTTTGGGGGATTTCATATTTTCTAAAATGCTGAACCTATGCTTTGGACTGGCACATGTCTTGTGGAACTGTTTGGATGTATCATTTTCTGCTTTTTGTCATGTTTTGAAGAAAGTTCTGCAAGTAAAGTTTTAATTAAAGTTATTGACCTTGACAATGTTTTATTTCCAAAAAGGAGTCAGTTTTCATGCATCCCGTCGCTTCAAACTGTGCAATATTAATATGTGCAATAGACCTCACCATCCTTGCTGAAAACAGCCTATCTCAAAGAAACACATTGCTAAAAAAGAATCCACCTTGTAAAGCTGTTTATTCAGCAGGAAAGTGTGGGGTGTGGATGAAGCAGAGGTCAGATGGGGAACGCTTGTAGTGGGAGAAGGGAGCGAGAGATCTGATCAGCAGCAACAATTTCTGAATCAGCCGGACTTCTGCAGTGGGGTGGAGGTTAAGCCTTGGCCGCTGATGAATTGGGTCCTCTTCAGGCACTGCAAAACAAAAGGCAGGATGGTATGTGGAAAAAGTATTGAACTGTGCAACTGGCACTGTATTAAAATTTTGTCCCAACTACTACCTCTTCCTCTTTTTCTTCTTGGGTTGTCCATTCACAAACCTTCTTCACAGCAACCAACAGATGGCAGATCTGCTCAGAAAAGCCCTGCAGCAGGGCTGGTCAATGTTTGGACTTCCAGATGCAGCTCCTGAACCACAACACCCATCAGCCCCAGCCAGCATGGCCAAGGCTTCCCCACACTTGCCCTGATATAATGCCAGCAAAATTCAGGGCCCTGTTTCCTTGGGGCAGCTGTTGGCAGGCCCTTCTTGTGGGGCTTGGTTTGCCATTGCTCCCACACAAAGATGCACACCTCACCTCCCTCCCCTTGACAACCTTGGAAGGGAAAAGCCCACATCTGCCTGTAAACAAGATTCCGGACTTGTCTGAGGATTACTTGGGCTTCCAAATGACTGTTGAATGACAGTCACTTTGTGCCCAGGAAAAAGGATTGGCTGCAAACAGGAGTGGGAAACTCTCCTGAGGTTTCTTGGTCTTTGATGCTCGTTGCCATCATCCCTGGCCATTGACCATGTTTGCTGAGGCTGATGGGAGTTGTAGCCCAACTGCATCTAGGCAGCTGCTGATGTTTCCCATCCCTGCAACAGACAACGAGAGCCTCCAGTGCCTGGTATCTGAGTGTTGTCCTGTCTCTCTGCACCCAGATAGCTTGATTCCAGGTAGTCTAGACTTATCACTCACCTGAGGAGCTTGTAGCAAACATCTGCAATGCAAAAAAGGAAAAGAAGTTCATGAATATTAGAACACAGAGGTGTGACTTTAGGAAATCCAGTTCTCAAGCAAGCATGGGAGGCCTTAATGGTCAGGATTGACTCCCACTAGGCAAAACAAGTAGGTTGTCTTTTTGTTTTTGTTTTTTTAAAAAATATGTCTGGTGGTATGGCTTATACCCAATGGATATGCTAGCTTGGAAAATCTCACCTGGCCCATTCCTTTGCTGCCATTTCACTCACAACCCAACCTTTGGATCAATTTGTGGGAATCAGTGTTATCCTCGCAATGAGCAATGTTTTTTTCTGGGGGCACTCAAAGGTATGCAGCACTGGTACCTTTTTCTTTCAAATGTTAAAAGTGTGAGATTACTGTAGCAACTTCATGGCGAGTACCAGCACCATGCTAAACCAGACAGGCTGAAAGGAAAACAAATCACAAATGCTATACTCACCAGACTTGGGGAGGATTACCATCAGGTCATCTGTGAGCCCCACCTTGTGGTAATGCTCCTTGAACTTCTCCAGCACTTCATTGCTGATGTCTTGAGTGCGGGCTGCATCCAGAGGAGGTCAGAATTAGACTCTGTTTGAGGTGGTGGGCAATAACTTCACCAACCTCCAGTTTGTGGGCAGGGCAGGGTAGAATCTTGAGAGGCTACCATGTGGAGGGAACACCCTAAGGGGGTTCCAGTCTGTGGACTGAGGCTGGAGGTAGGGAGGAGGAGGAGCTTTCAGAAGTGGTTTGAATGAGGGGTTGCACCTCATGGCCTGGACACTTGCCCCACTTTCGCATGACATGCTCTGGGCCCCCTCAGTCTTGGGAGCAACTTGGCACCTCTGTTTTCATGGCCTTCCCTCCATCAACTTTTAGACTGTAAACTTATTGGGGCAAAGGCCTGGCCTCTTAAGCTTTATAAAATGCCTCTTGCCGGCTGATGCTGCTGTACATATAACAAAACATCTGTCTCGTCCCGCCTTAAAACTAGTGGTCCAGTCAAACCATTTAACAACCTTCTCCCTCCTTGCAAGGAATGCTAGGACTCTTGTTCTATTGAAGGCATCGAGTCCTCTGCATCCTCCACCAATTCCCAGGATTCCAGATAATTTATAGTGTCATAAAATGAATGCTACTTTTTATTTTGGCAATGGAGCCTGCCCTATGCTATTATGAAGTGTGAGGCAGCTGGAGGGGAGGAGGGTAGCAGCAGCAGCAGGAGCAGCGTGGTATCAGAGGGGAGAGCTGTGCCACATAGCCTGCCCTGAAATTCTGCTGTCCCCATCACCAGTGCTAAAATAAGATTGAGCTGCCAGTATATGCGGGGAAGACGTGCCATCTTACCTTTCACTTCAGGCAACAAATTGCCTTGTGTTGGCCCTGTTTAGTACTGTACTGTACTGTACTGTACTGTACTGTACTGTATTATAATCTATTGTAGGGCAATGAGGGTTTGCTAGTTTTATCTACAACTCTCCCACCCCACCCCCCGCCAATACCCTCCTGGCTTTAAAACCATGGAAGACAAGTGGCTGCAGAGTTACTGTAATCAGCACAGCACCAAGGAGACAGAGAAGAAAGCAACTCCTGATTTTCAGTGAGGGGTCCCGATCAGGGGATTCAGTCAGGGGCCCCTGCTTTTGCCTGGGATGCATCAGAGGGTGTGCAATCCCTTCATTCAAAGAAGCAGCCCCAACTTAGCAACGCCGCTCTGCCATCAATGGCTCAGGAAGTAAGATGGCGGCTCTTGCCACCTCCACCCTCCTCTCTCTTGCTCAAGGATGGCTCATTGGAGCACATACTGTACAACTGGACGGTGGTGCTGCTGGGCTCATCTTCGATCTCCTTGAAGGTGTAGAGGAGGGCAAAGTTGGTGTAGTCGGTTTCCAGCACCCGCATATCTCTCTTGGCATTCTCTGAATGAAGAAGGAGACAGAACCCTGATTAGTTCTTTTTTTAAAAAAATTAATATTTATTAAAGTTTCAGAAAAAAAATAAAATCACATTAACAAACAAGAGAAATTTAAAAAGAAAAAAGAAAAATACACAATACAAAATACAAAATACAAAAAGAGAAAAAGAGAAAAAAAAACAGTTAAAAACAATTCCGTCTTTTCATAACTTCTTTTACATTTACTTGTTTCCCGGACTTCCTCATACCTCCCTCTTTTGTATTCCAATTCAGTTTGTTAGTCCAGCAATTTCTTTCCCTCCTTTTTAATCCCAATCCTTAATCTTAATATATTATGACATTAGATTTTTACCTATTTAAAACCAATTTTTTCATTCTTTTAACCTTTTTAATCCTAATCCTTAATCTTGATATATTTATAACTTTAAAACCTGTACAGCTAGAAGCCACTTAACTTCAATCCAACATCACTCTAACATTCATTAATTTTGCAATGTTTCTGTAAATAATCTTTGAATGGAACCCTGATTAGTTCTGGCCATGGAAGGAGGGTCGGAATCTGTTCTTCTGGCCTTTCAACTTTTCCTTCCTCCCATCCTTCCAGAGCCAGATCATATTGATAATCACCCACCAAGCCACACTCTGAAGTTATCCCATGCCACCCTAAATACATTCTCTTTCCCACGTATCGCCTTATATAGCATCACAAAGATCGCCACCTCAAGGATTCTTGACTTCTTCTAGAGTGTCCGTGCCAATTTTCCTAGATGGGAGAGGAGGAAATGATCCAAGAACCACTAATGTGAATGGCAAGCTCTTTTGCCAGCTAGGCTGCAGAGAAACCAGAATTTATTTGGCAATTGCTAGGAATTTTGAAAAATGTGTGTTCAGTGTTCTTGCACTTAGCAGGCAAGGGAATATATATAACAAAACATGTGTGTTTCAACCTGCATTAAGAAGTACTCTGTACATGCTCAGGATCACTCTGTCTCAAGCCTTTTTATCAAAACCTTGGTTCTCTTAGAGAGCGAAAAAAGCACTCTGCACAGACTCAGGGGCACACAGGATTTTTTTAACACATAAGCATTTGGCAGGCCAGTTTTGCAGAGTCCCACTGTCCCTGTTGCCACATTACTCATGTGTAGTTACCCACACAGGTAGCCCCTACTCAGAAAGAGGTCACGTGCCAGGCTTTCCTCTCACACAAGATGTAGTTGTGTCCTGGCTCTGGACCAAAATCCTGCAGAGGCAAAGTCCTCAGGCAACTGCAGCTCTGAGAAGGAGATTGGTCCATGCCCTTGTCCATCTCATGGCGGTCCACTGACACTTTCCCTTCTCTCCTTGAGTAGACACCTTGGCCACCAGACTCTGATGGCTGGTCCACAAATTCCATGAGAAATCAAGAGAGTCCTCAGGAGATATCCCTGCAGCTGAAAATCCTATTCCACAAAGGAACCAAGGGTTGCAGCAGAAAGCTACAGTTCTTTCACTCACCCTCAAGGAGCAAGGCCTCTAGTCAATGACTAGCTAGTCCTGCTCGAAAAGTCTGTGGCCCTAAGACCTTGCTGAGGCAATGTGGCTGTTTGACCTCAGGAGAAGGGGATCTCTCCATGGTCCTGACTTCCCTCCAAGATGCAGACTTTTGCCTGCCCTGGCCGTGCCTGGGAAACCCCCTGCTTGGTCCATCCCCTCATCTGAATCATGGCAGGCTGGGCGGGGGGCAGGAAAATGCAATTCCGGGGGCAAACCTTAATGCACAGCCCTGCTCCCCTCTCTCTACGCCCTAAAGCACTTGTGCCCTACCGTCGTTTGTGAAGTGTGCAGGCTGGTCTGTCTTCTTAAAGTACATCTCTACCTTCTTGCACTCCTCAGGGCTGAAAAGAGAAATGAGGGAAAGGCACATACTGGGTTTAGAAATCATAGAATTATATACAGTTGGAAGGGACCACAAGGGTCATCTAGTCCAACCCCCTGCAATGCAGGAATGTTTTGCCCAATGTGGGGCTCAGACCGACAACCCTGAGGTTAAGAGTCTCATTCTCTATCTACTAAGCTATCATTTCATTCTGAGTAGTTTTAAAGCCTCCACAAACTTTACAAAACAGTAAGTATACAGAGGTACTCTTACAAGGACCTATTAAATGTGACTAAGCAACTGGGCCCAGATAGTAAAATCTGCCTGTTTTTTTTATTTTTAATATTAGCAAGAGGCTGAGCCCTGCTCCCCCCCAAATATATAAAATCATAGAGTTGGAAGGGACCTTGAGAGTTATCTAGTCCAACCCCCTGCAATGCAGGAATGTTTTGTCCAATGTGGGGCTCGAACTCACGACCCTGAGATCAAAAGTCTCATGCTCTACCAACTGAGCTATTAGACTACGGAGGCTGCTTCCCTGTGGGGCATTTTCAGCAGAGGTGCTTTGTCTCATTCGCCCATATTTTGATGTGGATGAGGGGCACACTTGACATCGCAATCCCTTTCTCAGAGGGGAGAACAGGGAAAGGAGCATCATTGCCGTTGCTGACAATCTGTTGAGCTGGGTCTCTTCCTTCATATTGACCTGGGGAAGATTTAGCTGCCCAACATATTCACAGGCGTTTGGGGGCTACATGTTGCATCTGCCCCAGCCAGCAAGACCAATGGTCAGGGATGGTGGGAACTGGAGTCCAAAGCACCCAGAAAGCCCTACACGGAGGAAAGCTGCATTATGAGAGCCAGTGATAGTGTAGTAGTTGGTGCAACCACAAAGACCTCAGAGACCAGGGCTCTCACTGGGGGCCACTTGTTGCCTCTCACTCTAACCTACCTCACAGGTTGATTTAGAGGATTAGAGGAGGAGGCAGAAGCATATACACCCCCATGAGCTCATTTTAGAAAAAGGTGGACTAGAAATGCAATGAAATAAACAAATAAATTATAACATTTGCAGCAGGTTTCATTTTATCACCCCACTTGCGTATTTTAATTAGCATCAGGTCACTTTTCCAGTATGTATAATATTAGGAAAGTACTGATTAAATTAGTATTGGAACACTATAACACTTCAGTGTTGATTTGCAGGAGGAATAGGGTGGCCGGGGGGTGGGGGGTGGAGCATTAAATAACTTCTTATAGGGAAATGGTCCAAACCCATCCCAGCAAATTTAGATGAGAATTTGGCACATCTGTTCTGAAAGAGGGTGCTTCTCCTTGCTGGCTCTATGATCCAGCCATCAGGGATACCAATCCATTGTAGTCTACATGGCAACACCCCCAAGGGAAACCAGAGTGCTTGGTCTAATGAAGAGGGAACATTTTCATCCTACCCCAGCGTTTTCAAAGGGTTTCACAGGGAGGGGGTATTTGGGAGGGGCATATTTCCCCCACTGCAAAATGTGCCCTCCCTTCCCCATTCTTAATCACGTAAAGTGCTCCTAAGGCCAGCTAAGGGACTAGCAGTAGTTACTTACAAAGGGTAGCCAGTAAGTATTTTCATGTCGCCGTTTGGAAGGGGTTTGACTAGAGCAGCAGATGTTGTCATGAGGCTCTTCATGCCCTGGAATACAGGGCAGTTTGACGATCCGGCCATGATGTGCCACATCCCTGAAAACTGGAGGAAACCATTCCAGTCAGACCAGAGGTCTCACCCCTCCACTCCACCATCCAGACGAGGCCAAATCTGGCATTTCCCACATTTCTGTGCATTTCAATTAACCTGCATTATTTGTGCCAAGGCTCGGAGTGGAGCACAGGAACCCCTCTAAGGAAAAGAAGCCCATAATAAAAAGGAGAATAAATGCACACCCAGATTAAATCTCAGGAGCTGGACTGAAGTGTAGGTCAGCAATAAACCAACAACTGTGTCAGGGAAGCTGACTCTGGCAAGTGCATGAGGTGATGACAAGGCTTTCAAATTTGGCAACCAGACAGCATTATAAAATCAAAAGACAACAGAGAAAATGGCCAGGAACAAAGCGAGTATAAATTTAGATGGTACTTGGTGGACTCCTGCTCCCATCATCCCCTTGCCACTGGCCTCTGGCTAGCTGGGACTGGTGGGAGTTCCTTCAGCACCAACTCCTGGAGGGCACTTGGTTGCAGAAGTGTGAGCAATTGGCTAGCTCTGGAACCAAAGAAAGGGGTCAACTTCCACACAGCAGTGACCGCACCCTTTCCCTACAGCTCAGTACCTTCTGAAGATCGAAGTCTGGTTGCATGGCAATGTCTGCCCGAACGCAGAATGAGCAAAGCAGGAGCATCAAAAGGCTGTGCATGGTGGACCTCATCCTGCGGGTGCCTCCTCTTGCTCCTTGCGTGCTGTCAAGAGAAAAGGAGCTGGGCAGAGGAAGATGCCGTCTCCTTCAAAGGCGCCCAACTTTATACCTCTCCCCTTGGGTGTCACAGCAGCCAGGGCGCTCTGCAGCGTCTCCTCCCACGTCTTATGCAACACTTTGGCCAAGTGTGGATCTGCTATCTTGGATAGGTAGTATTGGGTAACACCCTATTAAGTGATAATTGCTGGGCTGCAACTGGATAGCAACCAGGGGCAAAACCAGGCTTTATTTCACCCGAGTCAAAGACCCAGTTTGGCACACTCCCCATCTGTACTTGTGTACAGACGGGGCAGGGAGAGAGAGACTGGGAGCCTCAATGGCACCCTACTGGAGGCTTCAACTGGGCGAAAACCCTTGCTAGCTCCCCCGTAGCTACAGCTCTGAGTAAGCCCCTTCGCCTGACCCAACAACAACAAGAAAAGAGAACAGGCAGGTTGGATGAAGGGGCGCTTCAAAATGACTCCCCATGATCCAAAAGATTGTTCGCAGTATACAAATATTCTGCCCTCGAGGGTATTCCCAACCAAGACCCCTTTTCCTGACTCTGCATGAGAGAATGTGCACTTTTGGTCCATTTGTTTGCACGGGCAGAAATTGGGAGCAATCCCCCCCCAAAGACAAAGGAAGGAATGGATAAGGAGTTGCTTCATACTGAATCAGACCATTAAGGTCCCTTTGAATCAGTGCTGTCTGCAACGACTGGCAGTAGCTCTCCATGGTTTCAGGCAAGGGAGATAGATGCCTAGCCTCACCTGGGACCTTCTGCCTGCAAAGCAGGTGCTCTGACCACTGAGCTGTGACCCCCCAAGCTAAGATCCCCTTGAAGAGGAAAAGCACTAGCATCCCTCACATTGCTGACTCTACTGCCCCAAAGCCTGTGAGACTCCCCTTGTGATATTTCCTAATCTACTAGCGCTCAGGAAGAGCAAATCTGTCCCTGTTGGTTTCTCTCTTTTTCTCATTTTCCCATTCTTAAATTTATGATTTCCATACCAGTTGAACATTTTTTTTCAAGTCCTTATGAAAATTCACCAGCATTTCAGTGCAAATTTTTTCTGAAATGCACATTTTGTATGCACTTTTGCCTAATAAACGCAATCCGTTTGTTAGACAAGCGTTCACATAATGAGTCAACATTCTCAATTGATTCCTATGGGGAAATTTCTAAGCATTCCTGACTGTGGAACTTTGACCTCAAAAAGGGGTGGGGGGTGGGACAGAAAAACCCTCTGGAACCTTGTCCAAATTCTACCGCTCCCACCCAACACTGTTTCTGATGAAACAGCTTATGAGGACCAGTAAAACAGTTTAAAAAAGAAGGCTTGTTTAAGGCTGCTTATCTGTTTATAGTACTTTATGCAGGCCTGGCTGCTTGGATATCTGAACTTGCGGTGTGTATAGCAATGTTTCAGTACTAATTCCTTGTGTTTAGATAAGTGAACTTTCATAGAACGAATTTTCGGATCACAAAACCTGCATGCATTCACATTCTTCCAAAGCATTTTTTTTCTTATACAACACATTTTTGTATATTGTTTTCAGAAGCATATGCATTCCATGCTCACTTTGCACTAGCATGTGCATTTTTGGACATATTCCTTGACTTACGTTATCTGCAAAATTTAGAGAATTTCGAAGGGCAGCTGTATTTCAGTTGGCACATTGCTCCAGAAAGTAAAAATTTGGAAGGTTTACCTTGAAAATGTGAACTGAATCAAAACTCTCCCCTGTTGCTAGCTGGAGCCCCTGGCTGTCTATTCGGTTGGGCCAGACCAGATTGGCAGGTGACCTGGGCAATTCACATTTGTGTTTTCGTGGCCAAAAGGCTTCATTGCATCCATGCACAAGTTAGGAACCTAGGAAGCAGCTTTATACAGAGTTAGACCATTGGCCTATCTCCTTCTGTACTGTCTACACTGATTGGCAGCAACTCTCAATGGGTTTTGGCAAGGGACACTCTCAACCCTACCTAGAAATGTTAAAAATTCCAATTTTTAACACACACAAAGATACACACAGAGCAGGAGAAAACAAGCTTGCTCCATCTTCCATGTGACAGCCCCTAAAATATTTGAAGATGGCTATCCTGTCTCCTCTCAGTCTCCTCTTTTCCAGGCTCAACATACTCAACTCCCTCAATCATTCCTCATAAGGCCTGGTTTCCAGACCCTTGATCATCTTGGTCACCCTCCTCTGCACATGTTCTAGCTTGTCAATATCTTTCTCAAATTGTGGTTCCCTGAATTAGACACAGTACCCCAAGTGTGGTGTGACCAAGGCAGAATAGAGTGGTACTATGACTTCCCTTGATCGGGACACTATATACTTCTGTTGACACAGCCTAGAATAGCATTAACCTTATTTGCTGCTGCATCACACTGTTGACTCATGTTAAGCTTGTGGTTCACTAAACTTGTGGTGAACAAACTAAAGATCGATCCAAACTAGGTGGTGATAGTCTTTGGTTGATAATAATAGTGATCTAGGTGGAACCTATTTTAGACAGGAACCTATTTTAGACAGGAATGCACTCCCCAGCCCTAGAGCAACAGACTCACAAAGGGGTCTAGCTTTATCCAGGGATATGCTGGTGACCTTAATGCCCACAAGTGCCTTCCTCCATATTTACTGCCCTATACTGGGGGTGGGAATCAGACCCAGCCGTAGCTGTTTAGTCCAGGGGAAACCAATGTGGTGTCTTCTAGATGTGTCATTTGGTTGACAGATGGAGCTGGCTTGAAACCTGTGCCAAGAGCCATTGCTTTCTTGCCAGTGGGCAGACACTCCCAGCCAGCCGCAATCAAGAGAGAGAGGAAGTGGCCTGCAAACTAATCCTGCCTTTATCTAAATCCTCCTGAAGCTTTCCTAAATCCCCTTGTGCAAAGGCCTTCCAGCTGAGCCAAGCTGCCTTAAGAGAAAATGTACACAATACGCCCCCTTCAAATTACTGGCTTCTTAAAACAAACAGCAAAACCTGAAGGACCTCAACTGCCTCCCAGTTGGTGTGTGCCCAGAGCAAGAAAAGTGGTAGAGGTTGATTCATAGATTCATAGAATTGTAAAGGGACCCTGAGGACCACCTAGTCCATGGGTAGGCAAACTAAGGCCCGGAGGCCGGATGCGGCCCAATCACCTTCTAAATCTGGCCTGCTGATAGTCCGGGAATCAGTGTGTTTTTGCATAAGTAGAATGTGTCCTTTTATTTAAAATGCATCTCTGGGTTATGTGTGGGGCATAGGAATTCGTTCATTTTTATAATAATTTAATAATAATAATTTATTATTTATACCCTGCCCACCCCATTAGGGGAAATAGGAAGCCCCGAAAAAATATTTTTTTGATGTCCTTTTTATGTTGAGATTCATAGAGACACCATTTATCCTTTGCTGAAGAGGCCCGCCAATCGTTCAGACAAGTCTAAACTTAATTCTCTCTTAGGCAAAGATAACAAGACGACCTGGCTGGTAGCCAGATTCTGCGCCCAGATTTGTAGGCAGAGATCATCCTCTAGAATAAAATAGCTCACTAGGGAAATGCTGAAGTCGCCTCAGGGTCAATTTTTATGGTAGCCGAAATCTCAGTTGTACGTGTATATGTACAGTGGTGCCTCGCAAGACGAAAAACTCGCTAGACGAAAGGGTTTTTCGTTTTTTGAGCTGCTTCGCAATACGATTTTCCCTATGGGCTTGCTTCGCAAGACGGAAACGTCTTGCAAGTTTGTTTCCTTTTTCTTAACACCGTTAATACAGTTGCGACTTGACTTCGAGGAGCAACTCATAGAACGCAGTGTGGTAGCCTTTTTTGAGGTTTTTAAAGACTTTGGTGATTTTTGAAGCTTTTCCAAAACTTTCCCGACACCGTGCTTCGCAAGACAAAAAAAACCGCAAGAAGACAAAACTCGCGGAACAAATTAATTTTGTCTTGCAAGGCACCACTGTATATATATTTATTTTAACTCATGAGCTATTGCTGCAATCTGCTCTGATTGCATATTTTATCTTTATGAACGCTGTTTTATCGTGTTATGTTATGTGAGCTGGTCTTTGACTGTAATAAATTATCTATCTAACTATCCCACCAATCTGGCTGGGTTTCCCCAGCTACTCTGGGTGGCTTCTAACAGAATATAAAAATACAAAAAAATAATAAATAATAATAATCCAGCCCCCCACAAGGTCTGAGGGACAGTGGACCAGCCCCCTGCTGAAAAAGTTTGCTGACCCCTGAATTAGTCCAACCCCCTGCAATGCAGGAATATGCAGCTGTCCCATTCAGGGATCGAACCTGCAACCTTAGGGTTGTCACCGCTATGCTTTAATCAACTGAAAGGCATGGGAACCTTGCTCAGGAAAGGAGCGGAACATCCTATTTGGAAGGGGGGCGGGGAAACAACAATATTGAAATAATGGGAGACCGTGGGTGGCATTTACACATTTAGACCCACTGAAATGATTGAATATAGCCAGGAAAAAGTTCGTACTGGGAAAAGTTGGCCACGGCAGTTCATGCACTGGTAACTTCAAGACTGCATTACTGCAATGCACTTGAACCGGGAGCAGCAGTTAGTGAACAGTGCTGCAGCACAATTGCTAATAGGAGTGAGGCCTTCTCAGCATAGAAGACCAGTGCTCAGGAATCTGCACTGGTTGTCAATCTGCTACTAGGCTAGGTTCAAGGTGTTACTGTTAGAATATAAAGCCCTTAACAACGTGGGGCCAGTTTGCCTGTGAGTTGGAAGGAAGGTCTCATTTCCGGAGCTGCTGATCTCTTCTTTCTGCAGCTCTGCTTTGCACCCATTTTCAGCTTCATTCCATCTCCTGTTTTTCAGGCCCTTTTAGGCCCCTGCTTTCATCTTCAACCCTATCCCCAAGCCTCCTACACCCTCCTTTTTGCAACTTACTTTGAAGAAGAAGAAGAGTTTGGATTTGATATCCTGCTTTATCACTACCCTAAGGAGTCTCAAAGCGGCTAACATTCTCCTTTCCCTTCCTCCCCCACAACAAACACTCTGTTAGGTGAGTGGGGCTGAGAGACTTCAGAGAAGTGTGACTAGCCCAAGGTCACCCAGCAGCTGCATGTGGAGGAGCGGAGATGCGAACCCGGTTCACCAGATTACGAGACTACCGCTCTTAACCACTACACCATACTGGCTTTGCATCCCCATTCTTACTCTTACTCCCTTTTTTCCTCCACCCTCCTTGTCAATTTTCTCAACTCTCCCCTACACGCACTTTTTCCACACTTCCTTTTCTCTCCTGATTCGGCCACCCCCATTCAACACCCCCCATACTGATAATAGAACCAAAGAATTGTGGTGTTGGAACGACCCCAAGAGTCATCTGGTACAATGCCTTGCAATGCAGGAATCACAACTAAAGCATCCATGACTGATGGCCACCCAACCCCAACCTCTGCTTAAAAACCTCCAAGGAAGGAGAGTCCATAACCTCCCAACTGAGACAGTTCCACTGTCAAACAACTCTTTAGCTGAGATTCCTGCATTGCTGGGGGTTGAACTAGATGACCCTAGGTGTCCCTTCCAACTTTTGTTGTTGTTTAGTCGTTTAGTCGTGTTCGACTCTTTGTGACCCAATGGACCAGAGCACGCCAGGCATTTCTGTCTTCCACTGCCTCCCGCAGTTTGGTCAAACTTCCAACTCTACAATTCTATTATTCTAGCATCTGTGCCAGACAGTCACCAATACCCTCTAGCTATGCATGCAGAAGAGCTTGACACTCACGCTGCTAAAAGGACCAGAGACCTGGGGGAGTGCCAAGCTCTTTTTGTTTGAGACAACCCTAGAATGCTGCTGCCAGCCAGTGTAGGCAGCAGTGGGCTACATGGATAAACAGCTTGAAGGATTAAGACAGCCTTCCTAATGCATTTGATAGACACTTCAAGCGCCTTTGAGTAATAATAATAATAATAACAATAATAATAATATTAATAATATAATATAATATAATATAATATAATATAATATAATAATAAAATTTAAAAATCTGGGGGGGGGGTATCAATAAAGGCAACTCTGGGAAGAAATGCAGCATTTCCTGATGGCAGGAACTGATACTTTTTGTAGGAAGAAATATTACCATATTATGACATTATAATAGTAATAACAAATAATAATTAATGTACCTGTGGGCTGAGGATTAAGGGAGTGTGTTCCTGGAGATTCCCCCAATGACAAAACCAAAACATCAGCACTACCATTTTGTGTGACATTTTTTATTTTTAATCAAGGATCAGCTTTTACAGGGGTGGGTTAGAGGTGAAAGATGCTCATGGCTGAACAGGGAAGAGGTGCTACGTCAGCGCTGGAGAAGTCAAGGATTGGCAGACAGGTCAGAAAATGGGGCTTCCTTGCTCGAAGCAAAACCTGGATTTTCAACCTAGGAGCTTGAAAAGGAAAGGGTGTGTGTGAGTGTGTGCCACATATTTCTGCATTCTGGATATAATCCCAACCACCAACTAACATATTCAGAAGTCTCAATTCCCCTTGGTGATGTCCTAGCAAGCTCAGCCCTCTGCTGGGTGCAAACTACACACAACTGTATTTGTTGACACACCATGACCGCAGAACTCCCTGCCACCAGATGTGGCTCTATTAGCTTTAAAAGACAGATTCAGAGGTCTATCAAGAGAGCATCCATGTACAGAAACAGTCTCCTTCTGAGCAGCCCCTGCTGAGGATGAGCAGCTGAGCGCAACTATCACATCGATGCCCAGCTCATGAGAAAACAGGAGACTGGGCCCTTGGCCTGAATCAGCAGCAGGGCAGTCATTGCGTCCTGAAGAATTGCCATGGCTGATCATCAGGCCAACCTTCTGTGGGCCTTCCCGAAGCCAACCTGCAGCCCCACAGATGCTCCCAAACAATGAAGGCCTCTCTTGCTCCTTTGAAATCTCTTCCATGCCCCCCCCCTCTCTCTCCCTCTCTTTCTTTCTTTCTTTGTCATCTAAGCAAGCACAGAGTTAAACTATGGAGGCAATGATGGCCACCAATGTTGAGAGATTTAGAAGAGGATTGGACAAACTCATGGAGGAGAGAACTATCGCTGACTACCAGACATGGCTATAATCCGCCTCTGCGGTCAGAGGCAGCGATGCTTCTGAATACCAGTGGCTGGAAACCCAGAAGGGGAGAGGGCTCTTGTGCTCAAATGCTACTTGCAGGTTTCCTACAATATGCATCTGACCGGCCACTGTGAGAACAGCATGCTGGACTAGATGGGCCATTGGTCTGATCCATCAGGCTCTTCTTATGTTATTAAGCAAGCAGCCCTCGGCACTTGTTGCTCAAGACAGTGGCCTGGCTCACACATATTATGTCTGACAAACCATGCTTTGCAGAGCCCTGTGCACTCCTTCCCCAGCAATTGACACACATGCGCTGTCAGGGTTTATGAGGAAAGGCCTCGGGACAGACACATATGAGCCCCAACCTTTTGATTTCTAGAAATGTAACACCGCCCACCGCTTGCCTCTCCCACGAGCCACAGAGTAAAAGGCAACTCACCTACACATTGTCCGTCATGCAAAGATCTGTCCGGAGAGAAGGCAAGGAGAGGGATCAGGGAGTGGTCTAAAGGCATTTGAAGGTGGCAGGGGTGTGTTTGCTGCATGCTGGTGAGCAAAGGGTTGCTTTGCTACCCAGGGCACGGTCCTGTGTGGCCACCAAATCACAGCTCTGGAACAAGGGCACCCAGAGGTCTTCTAGTCCAACCTTGGCCACACACGTACCACTAGGCAAGCCCATCACACTCTTGCATTCCCTACTCACTAACCCCCACCCCACAATGCAATTCAGAGTGTCCGGCTGCAAGAGACCAAACGTGGCTTATTAACCATTAATCTATGTCTAGATGCAAACTCCCCTCTGTTGCTCACACTGGGAATATGGGATGCATGACACATAAGGCCAGATATCCTTAATTTTTAATTTCAGCAGGAAACTTGTTTATGCCTGTTTCTCCTCTCTACTCAGTTTTTCTCCTCCTCTTTCTTCATATACCCCCTGCTAAAAATCTAGAAACAGGACCAGCAGGCAGATCAATTGTCAGTGTGCTGTGGATCCTGACCATACATCAGCTGAAAAGAAAGGATATAATATGCTTTTTATGATATACATGGGCTATAGCATGACAATGGTGATGGGTTTTAACTGTGAGCTGCTTTGGGAACCAGTCCTGGTGAGGATGCAGGTGGTGTGTCCCCACATGGATCTGTGGAACTCAATTCCCCGTGAAACCAGGCAAGCTCCACCTGACTGGTATTTCCAGATGTTCTTATCTGATTCATCTCCTCTTTGTCATTTTCAAGAGTCCAATTTAAATTGGGGCTTTCCAAAAAAATTGGTTGTGCACTTTGATTTGTTGCAGCATAGGTTGGCATGGAGCCCCATCATTCGTTGATTTTGTGCCAGCTCTAAGACTGCTGCACATTTCTGATGTTTCTAAAAAGCTGTGTTCAAATGGCGCTTCGTATTCTGGGGGAGATTTTTCTGAGTTCCATATTTGTACACGTCATGGAGATCTTATTCTTAAAAAGGCATGTGATCAATGTATTAAATCAATGGGAAGGGAAAGAAAACAAAGCAAACTGCTGAGATTCTATGTTTTGGCAGCCAGAGCTTAAGAGTGAAGGAATATTTTGGGTTTCAGAATTCGAAATACAGACAGACCAGGCAGGAACTAGACCTGTCAGGGGACTGCCATTGGAACAGGTAAGGGAAGCAGAGGGGCAGCTGGGTTACAGGGAACCTCCGAAAATCTTGTGAAGCAGTTCCTCTTCCTGTGGTGGGGAAAGCCCCACCTCCAGTGGGGAAGCGGGGAAGGGACCAGAGGATGCTGCTGGGAGCCTCAGCACCACTCCTTGCCAAGCTGGCCAGGAGGGAAGCACGCCTCTTCCGTCTTCCACCCTGCGCAGTGGTGTAAAACGCAAAGAAGGAAGGAAAAGGCTGGGGGTGACTAAGCTATTATGTTGGGGGAGGACCTGGAAACGACCACTCCCAGATTCTGCTAGCAGTTGAGGCAGACATGAATTTGTGGTTCTGCACTGTAAATAGTTTTGCACCAAAATAAAACCTGTAAAAGACCGGTTGGAGTCCTGACTGGTTACTCATGAGCAATCACCATTGCCATCTGACAGGACCCCTTTAAACCAAGGATGGGGAACCACACTGCCCTCAAGAAAACATCTTTGGGACCGTGTGCCATTGGTGAGGCAAAACTAAGTGCTGCAATGGACTAGACTTTACCTACGTCCTAGCCTAGTGGCTGCTCAAGTGGGCAGTGCAAACTTCTGGTGAGTGATTACCTAAGGTGGGGTGCTAAGATTCTCGGGTTCACCAGGGGGTGCTGGAGGTGTAAATGACCTTTAGGCTTTGAAACAGTGCTATCGCTGGATCAAACATCATTTCAATTGCATTAATTAAACTAAATAGTCTTAAGTGGATTTTGAATCAATGCACAATCAATGGCTACTGCTCTAAATGTCATGGCCCTACTATCTTGCTTAGTGTACCTCCTCCACGAGAGGTGGCAACATGAGAACGGGGCCTTTTCTGCAGTGGCTCCCCATTTGTGGAATATTCTCCCCAGGGAGGCTCACCTGGAGCCTTCATTATACACCTTTAGGTGCCAAGTGAAAAAGTTCCTTTTCAACAAGGCCTTGGGCTGATTAACGCTCTATTTACGTTTAAATGTGTTGGGGGGGGGGGTTGTTGTTCCGTTGTTTGCGTTTTAATTATTTACTTGTGCTTTTACTTTGTATTTTTATCTTGTGAACCACCCAGAGGTCTTGTGCTGAATGCCGGTATATAAATCTAATAGATAAATGAAAATGAAAAATAGTGTGTTGTACAAAGCACTATTCCAAATAATGCCTTTTCTTAGGATAGGATGGGGGCACTGGGATGGGTTTTTATGGTACCAAGGGGAAGGGGCCTGAAAACTGTTTATGAATTGCTGCCCTCTGTCCAAGCAAGCAGGAGGCAGGTGAACCCATGATAAACCCCACATGGCAATCCCTAGAGGAAGAAACCTGAGGCCTGTCCGGCTCCCGCTCCCAGTTCTCCCACTTACCAGTGCTGGGCAAAAAGAGGATGTCCTCATTACCAAGTCCCTCTGCCAAGGCCAGCTGGGTGAACTTCTCCCGCAGTTCGGGACTCAGCTCCTTGCTTCTACCTGCCACCAGAAACACAAAGCGCTGTTGAGCAAGGAGAGTTGGTAGAGCACGAGATTCTTCATCTCAGGGTGTGGGTTCGAGTCCCATGTTGGGCAAAAGGATTCCTGCCCTGCAGGGGTTGCACTAGATGATCCTCACAGTCCCTTCCAACTCTCCAGCTCTCCTGCCACCCAATCTATCTGGTGCAATAAAACCCAGGCTCCCCAGTCCTCTGTCCCCAAGGGGAACAGCACAAGCCAGAAGGGCGGGGGTGGTGGAGCAGAAGGGAGGAAGGCTGCCCCCTGGTGGCAGAACAGTGGGAGGAACAGACGTACCATACAGTGTTACCATTGTCAACTTCTTCGTGTTTTGCTCCTTGGCATACAGCAAGGCGTACTCATCGTAGTTGGTCTCCACCACACGGACGTCATGGCGGTTTCCAGAGCCTGGCATCGAAGGAGGCAAGAGAAGAATTGAAATGGAGCCAGCAAGGAGACACAGTCACACACCCACACCCCATCACTGCCAGACACTGGCTTTGCACACCACGCAAATGATTCCTGGATTACAGGGGATTGGACAAGATGAACCTCGGGGTCCCTTCCAACTCTACAATTCTATGATATAAATGGTGCTAGCCACTGGCAGGTTGGTTTGGTTTGGCACCCACCCCAACCCCCAGCTGCTAGAACCAGTTTCCCTCTCCGTCTGGCAAGGGATGGCTCTTCCTTGCCCTGCTTGGAAACAACCAGGAGGAATTAAGTCAGAAAGGTGCCAATCTCTTTCCCAACCCATTCCAGACTGAGGGTTGCCTGGCTACTGCCCAGCCAGACGGGAGATGACGTGGCTCTCACTTACGTGGGCTGGTGTATAGGAATCGGCCAGGCTGCTCAGTCCGGACAAAAAGGCTTTTCCTCGTCTCACACTCGTTGAGCCTAGAGCAGAGAGAGAGCAGGACAGTGATGAAAGAAGGAGAAGCACAGGCAGCCAACTCAGGAAGCCTCCTGGCTTACGGGAACAACCTTCAGGGTTTTGAGTTTGAGGAATCTCAGCTACAGCATCCCTGACAGATGGCCATCCAACCTCTGCTTAAAAACCTCCAAGGAAGGAGAGTCCATCTCCTCCCAAGGGAGACCGTTCCACTGTCAAACAGCTCTTACTATCAGAAAATTCTTCCAAATGTTCAGCTCAAATCCTCTGGAGGGCACCAGGTTGGCAGAGTCTCGCTTATGCAATGCTCTTGGGTCACATTTATAAACAAGTACATACTGTAAATCTAGGGATGCAGGTGGCACTGTGGGTTAAACCACAGAGCCTAGGGCTTGCCGATCAGAAGGACGGTGGTTCGAATCCCCACGACAGGGTGAGCTCCTGTTGCTCCTGCCAACCTAGCAATTTGAAAGCATGTCAAAGTGCAAGTAGGTAAATAGGTACCGCTCCAGCAGGGAGGTAAAAAACATTTCCATGCACTGCTCTGGTTCGCCAGAAGCGGCTTAGTCATGCTGGCCACATGACCAGCTCCCTCAGCCAGTACGCCAGCTCCCTCGGCCAGTAAAGCGAGATGAGCACCGCAACCCCAGAGTTGTCCGTAACTGGACCTAACTGTCAGGGGTCCCTTTACCTTTACTGTAAATTTACAGCTGGGTTCCTATAGATGAAGGATTCGAACACAGACCCACAGAGCTGCATACAGCCCTGGTGAAAGGCAACCCATGAATATCCTCATTTTACAGGTGGGGAACACAGAGGCGGATAGATGAGAGGCCAGTGCAAGGCCAGTTGTGGCAGAGGATTTATTTTATTTCCCTGCTATTGTTGAAATATTGGGAGTGAGAACTCTCCACGGATCAACTGCAAATCAGCCCCCTGGGAGATGCCAGCTTGCTTCTGTCCACATCTGCCCAACATCTGTCTATTGCAGAATCTCTATGGGCTGTCTAAAACAATAATAGCAGCTTCAAGCGGTGCATCATTAACCTGTGGAACTCCCAGTCACAAGGTTTGTGGCCATGGGGTTGGATGGTTTTTCTTTTTAAAGGGTTCTATGGACGCAAAAAGAAGGGTCCATTGCTGCCAACAGTGATCAGTGTTGAAAGCACTATGGAACCTCCATGTCCAAAAGCAGTGTACCCTTAGAGGTCAGTTGCTGGGAGCATGCAACAGGCAAGGGTCATTGCCTCATGCCCTGCTTGGGGACTTCCCCAGGTCATCTGTCTGTCCATATTTGGAAGCAGGAAACTGGGCTGGGTGGATCTTTTGCCTGATCCAGCCGGGCTCTTCTCATCTTGCCCAGCATCCTGACTCCAGGATCAGTTCAGCATGGAGCGCTTCCAAGCAAGGCAGCCGCAGTCTCCCATCATATCTGGGCATCAGTGTTCCCGTGCTCCAGTGTGGTGTAGTGGTTAAGAGTGGTGGACTTGTAATCTGGTGAACCAGGTTCGCTTCCCCACTCCTCCACATGCAGCTGCTGGGTGACCTTGGGCTACTCACACTTCTCTGAAGTCTGTCAGCCCCACTCACCTCACAGAGTGTTTGTTGGGGGTGGGGAGGGAAAGGAGAATGTTAGCCACTTTGAGACTCCTTTGGGTAGTGATAAAGCGGGATATCAAATCCAAACCCTTCTTCTTCTGAACATGGAGGTTCTGCTCCTAGCCTTCTGTGCTGACAAAAGACCCACCCCTCCATTAATCTTGCTCATCCCTGATTTTTGATGCCATTGTGACCAGAGGCCTGTGCAACATCCCACAATATTAATTCCATCTGTCGGGTGTGGGGGCACGCCAGGCCAAGGCTTGGCAGCCCACCTGTGCCTCCTTACTTGGGGTAAGTGGAGGTGACATCCAGGTCCCCGTCCTCCGTGGTCATGACCACCGTGGTACACATCTTCATCACCTGCTTCTTGTCCTTGAACCAGTGGGCGTTGGAGCCCAGGGCGATGCTGTACCATTTCCCTGTGAACTACAAACACAGGGACCGCTTTAGCACAAATGTTTTGCTCTGGAATCTGCTGCCTGGCCAAATGGGTGGGGTGGGTTGGGACGCAATGCCTCGTGGGCTGATGGGAGACCCCAGTTCCCTGATTTATAAACCTTTCCTTATTGCTTGCCAGCCCACTGCGCTGCCCTTGGCTCTTCCTCCCTCACACTTGTGCTAAAAACCGTGCAAGCTTCAGAGTAACATAGGGGTCTTCTTTGGCCTGGGCATTAAAGATGCAGGGAGAGGAGAGGCATACTGACACCTCTCTTTGGAGTAGCTTTGCCTAAAGAAGAAGCCTCTTCAGATTTCCGCTCCAACCACCGTAAGTTAAGAAACTTTGGTGGAAAACTCTCTCTTGGAGTTGGGAGCACATAAGCCACACAATTAACAAGGCTAAGTCAGAATTAGCCCTCTTCGTCTCTTTGTTGTGCCCCTTGCTGAACACATTTCGGGGGGGGGGAGTGGGGAGGCACAAACAAACAGATTATTTCCAGAATTTCAAAACACCTTCCCTATTTATTCCCAGCTTCTGAGATATGAAAAGCTCTAGCTCCCTGGGTAGAGCAGCTGTTTCACTGGCAGCATCTCCAGGTGGGGCTGGGAGAGGCCCCCACTTGAAATCCTGGCTGCTGCCAGCCAGTGTTGACAATACTGGGTTTGCTAGATCAAGGGTCTGACTTGGTCTAAGGGAGCTTCCAAAATTCCTGTACATGCAGATCGTTGGCACAGGCATTGTGTAAAGAGGTAGCGAGTGAGTTTCCTTCTCATTCCTTTTGCACAGGCAATAGCCAGACAATGAGAACATTCTCACGTCGGTCATCCTCTCTTCTTGTCCTCCACATGACTTGGCTTGGAGTTGAAGCATACGTTTTTCAATGCCTGGAACATGCCAGCGGAGATATTGAATGACAGGCAGACCTCTGAGCCAAGTCTCTCTCCCAAGGAGGTCCCTTTCCAAGATCTTAGATCTGAGCTGTTCAGGGTCAACTGAAAGACAGCCACTGTGACATAATGGCTAGAGCACCAGACTAGGACCTGGGAGACCAGGATTCAGTTCCCACCCTCAGTCGTGAAGCTCCCTGAGAGTGTGGCATTGCGCCAGCCACTGCCTCTCTCAGACTAGCCTCCCTCACAGGGTTGTTGTTTGGATTAAATGAGGAGGTGTGTGGGTCATGCACGCCACCTTGACCTCCTGGAGGGGAAGCAGGATGGAAATGCAATAAATGAAATGAAATAAGTCATTTCATTTCAGATTCTGCAAGGGTCCCGGGCAGACGATCCAGGGACGGGGCTTGCTAGGTTTAAGCCAAGCTCCATGCAGACAACTGAACTCAGCTCTTTGGTCCCTGAGCTGGGGGCAGGGGGGGGGAGGCGCGGTTACCTGATCCTGCTGGAAGTCAGGCTGCACAGCCACTTCAGCCTGTACCTGGGACAGGCAGCCCAGGGTCAGGGCAAGGACGCTGAAGAATTGTGTCCGCATTGTGCCTAATGCTCTCCTGGGTCTGCTGCTGGCCTCTCTCTGCACAGCCTGTCCAGAAACCCAGGCCAGCCGGCTATTTATTGGCCAGTTGAGCAATGCTTCAGGGTGGGATCACGCTGACCTCTCTTCCCCCCACCCCCACTGATATAGTCTGTTACACAAAGCAGAAAGAGAGAGAACAGGGAAAGAACATGAGAGGGCGGAACAGCTGCTGCAATTTCCCACCCGCTATTCCCCCTCTGAAATGCTGACTCCCTACTGCGGCCTGGAGCAGGGAAGGGTTTTGAAGTATTGGGGCCTGGTGCACTCTGCTGGCACTCTGCTTCTGCATCACCGCAGGAAATTTGGTGAATGATAGAGATAAAGGAGAGCAGGCTATAGTTTCTAGCAAAGCAACAATGACCAGGTCGTCTGCAATAGGCATCAGAAGAGGTGAAAAGCATCTATTTTTTCCATGTCAACAGCAACAGATCACTTGACAGCATGGGAGCAACAAGTTCAGCCAGGGACAGCGTAGGAGAACAGAAAGCATGTCCTATTCGGAGTTGGCCTGTGCCATTACCAAGGGCAGAGCCATCAGTAAAAAAGAATAAATCAGTGTTGTGAAAAGGCTGAGAAGCAACTTGGATCCATTTGGATGTAGGCATGAGCAGAGTTGCCAAGAAACTCACACTCCTAAGTTGATATGTGTTGCACAGGGAAAATGTTGGGTTTGCAAGCACGGAGGAATCTAAACAGCATGCAGAGCTTCAAGGATTAAGGATTGTTAATAATGATGTCAGCCACTTTCTCCACTAACAGAGCAACTGCAGCTACGACATGCAAACAATGGGAAATTGAGCAACCCAAAAGACTGAGTTAAAAAACCTGAAGCAACACCTGATTCTTAGGGCCTTGCTGGAGGCAAGAGCTTGTTTGAGCAAGGCAAAGGCTGCATGCGTACGCCTTCAAGAAAACTGCTACAAGGCAAGAGCAGCTGGAGAAAAAGGGGAAAGACTTTAGTCTCTAGTCCCTGTTCACCAGCTTTCACAAGAGCATAATGTAAAAGCAACAGATAACAGCAAGTTCATACATAAACCTTTAAACAATTGCTTTACTGTGAGTCTAGAGTTGATCAAGCTCAATTCCGAGTGTGCCATAGGGCTGACCTCAGTGTTGCAAAAAGGGCAAGTTCCACCCTGAGATGCTCCTGCAACAACTTGTTCTTCCAGTTTCAAGATCCATTGCCAGTTGCAAGGCCTCCTGGTTGGCGAGGCTCTCCACCTTCTACCCTGGCAAACTGAACTAAAACCAAGTGTGCACATTGAACTTTGGCATCTTTTCAGCCAGCACACCCAATTTGTTCCTTGGGACAAAGGCGGGGGGGCAAGGGAAACTGTGATGGGAAACAACTTCTGTCAGCAGACCTTGCAGCTTGGGTGAATTAGATTGAAGGAATCGCTTATAGTTTTTGTAATTCAGAGGCTTTATTCATGCAGGAATTACTTACAGGATGAGTGGGGGTGAGAGAAAGAAAGCATCATATATATTGTCTAGAGAATAGCAAAACAAAATGGCTTAGTTTTTAGGGGCAGAGTTAACTTAGACCAGGCATCCCCAAACTTGGCCCTCCAGATGTTTTGGGACTACAATTTCCATCATCCCTGACCACTGGTCCTTTTAGCTAGGGATGATGGGAGTTGTAGTCCCAAAACAGCTGGAGGGCCAAGTTTGGGGGTGCCTGACTTAGACAAACAGCTGGGTAGATTGTTGCACTACCAGTGCCCTCATGTGGTTTGAAGCAACATGTGCATTAGCTAGAAGTTCAGTGAGAATGAAATACATTTGCTCTTCTCCTACAGCTTCTTCTCTCTGTAATACCTTCCATGTCCTTGGTCGTACCCAGTTGTTCACAACAACCTTGGCCTCACTCCTCCTCTGGAGCAGGTCTCTGTTGCTGCTCTTTCCACTTCCACTCTTCCAGTGTCCATCTTCCTCTGAGCTGCTCCTTCTCATTGGCTGCTAGGAAAGCCTGTCTCTGCAGCTGAGCACCCTTTGCTTCCCTCTTTATGTTTAACTGAAAGACTTAATCCCATAGCACGTTGTCTTGAGTCGTTATTCCACATGATGGGGGGGGGGACCGCTCGGGATCTGGGGACTCCGCCTGTCCATGCAAATGCCTTTAACAAGGCTGGAATGAGATTTTAAACACACACACATACAGTCCCACGGCATCCACTGCTGTGAGCTACTCAGAGGACAGTGATGTGGAAACACAAATGTCATGAGGCCAGTGTTTTCCATTTGTCTACTGCTAAGCCGGCATTGTGTAACAGTCTGCCTCCAGGCGGGATATGATCCTTAATTGCCACCCCTTCAAGTACCCCTCGCCACACTTAAAACTCCCAATTGTTCTGCTTAGCCCTGCCAAAGCAACATTTTACGTAAGAGCGGCTGTTTACAAAAGGGATTTTCATTTTGCCTCCTCAACCAATTCCAGTACCTGTTTTGCAGAGTGAATGAGGGCACATTCTTCCGCCCCAGCTTTAACCCACACACTATCAGGGTAGTTCAGTTGCTTAGAGGTGCTGATAACATCAAGCTTGCGTTTGGGACAGCTGCAGGGAGTTGGAAGAGACGATCCTCAGGATCGCTTCCAACTCTATGATTCTACAACACACACAACACACACGGCAACTGCGGGAAACTCAGTGCAAGCAGCAAGAAGTGGGAGGGAAAGGCATCAGTGCTTTTATTTGACCTGCAAATTCCTTCAGGCCTGGAACGCCGCAAGGGAGAAGTGCAGAGCCAAGAATTCTCTCCCTTCTATACAACTGCAAAGAATATACACAGAGACACACACCCCTATTTGCAAAGGGGGAGAGAGAGATGGATATTGCCCTTTTACTCATACATTGGTACCTCGGCTGTCAAACGTAATCCGTTCTGGAACGCCGTTCGGCTTCCGAAATATTCGACAACTGAGGCGCAAAGGGCAGTCTGCAAAGTCAATGGAGAAAATTGTGAGGGGGGAAGCAGCAGAAGTTGTTTGGCTTCCAAGACGCTCGAAAACCAAGATACCAATGTATAAAGGAAGGGCTGGTGGTCTCCCTTGCCCCATTCACTGCCCATTGGTGCTGTGCTGAAAACGTCATTTTTATTATTATTTATTAGATTTATATACCACCCTTCATCACAAGCTCTACCCTGAAAACCAACCTTGATCAGTTAATGAGAATATTATTTGTTTGTTATTTTATTACTACCCACCCATCTCCCTAAGGTTCCAAAGGCAGAGTACAAGAATGTAAAATACAGTTTGAAAACTCGCAATAAAAAAATTCAATCTCACACATCCAAAAAGTGTCAATCTTTATTGCATATAGATAAAGGAGAGAAAAACTTTCAATGAATTAACCAGAAGCCAAGGAGGCTGATCCTTGTCCATAATAAAAATATTCATCATCATTAGCCAGTTTCCCACACTACAATGGAAGGTTTCCTGGGGGTTTTATTGTATGATTTTATGCTCAGTTGTAAACTGTTCTGGGGTTGTTGTTTTTAGAAATAGAAGTACTGTGTACAGAGCCAGCCCATCCATGAGGCAAGGGGAGGCAGGCAACCTCCTCAGGTGGCAGGATCCATAAGGGAAGCAGATCCTGATGTCAGTCTTTATTCCCCGCCCACCTTGTTTCTGATATAGATCGTCACTCCCCAGTTCTTCCCTGGAGGGGAGAGGGGGCACTATTTTGTGGTTCGCTTCAGGGGCCAAAGTGTCTTGGACCAGCCCAGGCAGTATATATATCCTGTTACAGAAGTTGGGTGCAGCCCCCGCTCCCTGCCAAGCAGTAGCAAGATTCCAGGGGGTTCCAGGTGCTCACCCATGTTTCGTGCTTCTTTGGAGAATTGAAGATGCTGCTGAGATTGTCATAGTTTTAAGAAATATGGTTTATTCACATATTTACACCTTCCGTCTCCGTGGAGAGAGTTCAGATCTTTGTTTCTTTTTTGTGTGAATAATTTTTATTCATTTTTCAATTTAAAAAAATCATATTAGTAACAAATCAAACCACATCTTTCCACATTCAAAAACAAAAAACAATATAGCCAACTATATAATCCAAATGAATTAATTTCAACGGGTCTTCCCGTGTTCTGGATTTCAAAAGCCAAATAACCATCCTTTATCTTTCTGCTATCTTCTCTATTACTTCACAATTTTCTAATCCTGATATTAACTATCTCCTCTATCAGTCAGTCACTGGTATAACTCACTATGTTGTTGTATTTGACCATTCCTTATTTCTGTAATCACGCAGGGGGCTTTTTCCACGTTCTTAGTTTTAATATTTTGAAGCACAGTCCTCTTTGATGGCCCCTCCTTTTTCTGATGATTGTTGTTCTAGTAGGCTCTGGGCTTCCATCCAAGGTTGGAATTAATTAGTGACTTCTCACTGTCTTTGATGTTTCAAATACAGTGGAACTTCGGGTTAAGAACTTAATTCATTCTGAAGGTCCATTCTTAACAGAAACTGTTCTTAACCTGAGGTACCACTTTAGCTAATGGGGCCTCCCACTGCCACTGCGCCACCACGCGATTTCTGTTCTCATTCTGAAGCAAAGTTCTTAACCTGAGGTACTATTTCTGGGTTAGCGGAGTCTGTAACCTGAAGTGTCTGTAACCCGAGGTACCACTGTATACTGTAGTGGTGTACTTGGCAATCAGTAAGTCACACAAAGATTGTTTCTGTTTCCTCATAAAAACCCACGCCAGCTCTCTGGGGCCCTTGGACGGCTGGCAGGCATACCGAGTTCACCACCACTCTTTTCTCAAACTGTAATATTCCATGGAAGCAAATGCATCCTCTGTAAAGTACACCGCTTTTGCAATTCCAATAAAAAAATATCTCCAATATCCCCCACCCCGATTGAAGGAGGCTTTTTCTGGTCATATCCTTTTTCTTACCGCATTAGAGCTTTTACTGTCGCCATCTTCCTCCTCAGCCTGAGCTACTCTGATCATATCTTATCTTGCTCTGCCAATTTTGATCAGGGCTCTACACCAAGGACTGCAATTGG